CATTTCTTATTATTATCAATGTTGAAAACAGTTGTGCTGCCTAATGTTTTTGTGGAAACAACTATCATTTTTTTTCAGGATACTTTAAAGAAAGTTCAAAAGAACAGCACTTAATTGAAATATAAATCTTTTGCAACATTATAAATGTATTTACTGTCATTTTTAATCATTTTGCTACATCCTTGCTGAATTAAAGCATTCATTTATTTAAGAAAAACCATACTGACCTCAAATTTCTGAACAGTAGTAGTATATGCAGTTAGTATGAAGTATTTGGTGCTTTCTCAAAAGTACTTAATCTTTAAAATAACTGCAGTATTTAAATAGATTCAGAATCAGAAGCATTCAATTCTATACGATTCCCATCACTACATTTTCTTGGTGCGGATGAGATGAGATCACCTGGATTTGATGGGATTGTTTTCATGTTGTAGAGTGGCTGTTTCTGGCTGATATTGTCTTCCGCTAAGTGCTTTTATTAGATTAGAGAAGAGTAGAGGAGATCGCCTTACAGCGGTGGATAAAAAAAGGTCAAGACCTGGAGAATGAATGATGGAAGGCAGGTTTGATTTGAAGGGATACATTTGGTTAGTGCAGTATCTTTTATAGATCATAAAAGCTAAACCTCAGTCCTAAATTATTATAGGTTAAATTAAATGAACCTAAAATCTTGATGTTGAAGAAAACAAAAAGGTCTATCAACATGGTAAGCATCAACTACCCAAACAAGAGCAAATGTGGAGATCCATGCCAATTATTAACCCATGGAAATATTTGGTTGTCTTTTTTATGTTTGTTTTAGTTCTTTGCTTTTGTTAAAAGACAGTTACCCTGAGCAGTGTCTTTTACACCAACAACATCCAACACTGATGAAGAGCGACGTCGATTCACATTACTTTGTAAAATGTGTATTTGCTTGATACCAACAAGATTTTTTTTTTCACTTTAGGTTACATGTTCTGTTTTTAATGATTGCTATCTCTTCCTCTGTGTCTTTGTATTTCCTGCTCGTAGCGCTTTAATTTTGTGTCTCTGCCCACGGATGTGTTGGAGATCGAGGTGAAGGACAAGTTTGCCAAAAGCCGACCCATCATAAAGCGTTTCTTGGGCAAGCTGTCCATGCCAGTGCAAAGATTACTGGAGAAACATGCTATCGGGTATGTGCTTAAAAAGATAAACAAACCCAAACTAAACTTAAAGACATAAATAGGCTGTTTTGTGGCATATTGAAATATGATTTGTTATGCTAATGAGTTGAAATGCTAATTTTGAGGTGTTTGTTTGTGTTTTTTGTCATAGTGATCGAGTGGTCAGCTACACTCTGGGTCGGAGGCTTCCAACAGAACATGTCAGTGGCCAGCTGCAGTTCAGGTTTGAGATTACATCCTCCATCCACCCAGGTAAATCCAGCTTTATAATCAACCTTTTATTGAATATAATAAATCATCAACACGTTCATCTCTGGTGTACAGCCTGCTACATTAAACAAAGAACTCTAGACAATAATGACAGACTGATATGGAAATTTCAGCTGTTATTCATAATTATTTTTGTGTTGTAGCCTTTATCATATCAATTATCTTAATATTATGTTATAATAACTGATTAGATTATTGATATTAAAATTGGCATTCAATTAGTTTGCAAAGGCATCACTATTTTCAAAACCTTACATACTAATCTTTGTCAGGTAACTTAATTAATGTCTCAAATGGCTTGTTAAGGAGAGATGTACTATTTCTGACCTCACAAGTAAATTCCATCTCATCCAATCCTGTCCTATTTCTCATTGTCCTTATAAAAATACACTACCATTCAAAAGTTTGGGGTTGTAGTATTTTTAAATGTTTTTGAAGTCTAACAAAGACTGCATTTATTTGATCAAAAATACAGTAAAAACAGTAATATTGTGAAATATTATTACACTTTAAAATAACTGCTTTCTATTTGAATATATTTTAAAATGTAATTTATTTCTTTGATCAAAGCTGAATTTTCAGCATCATTACTCCAGTCTTCAGTGTCATATGATCCTTCAGAAATCATTCTAATATGCTGATTTGCTACTCAAGAAACATTTGTTATTATTATCAATGCCTAATATTTTTGTGGAAACAATTATCTTTTTTTCAGGATTATTTGATGAACAGAACGTTGAAAATAACAGCATTTATTTGAAATATAAATCTTTTACAACATTATTAATTTATATTTTTGATCAATTGAATGCATCCTTGCTGAATAAAAATATTCTCAAACTTCTGACTAGTGGTGTAATTCATTATAATAAGCCACCATATTATTACTTTTAATACTAGTCTAATCCAGCCACTCATGATAACATTAAAAAGTCACATGATTGCCAGTATATCTTGCATGCTTACTGGCTAGTATTTTCATGTATGCATTATGTGCATGTAGGTCACAGGTTTCTGTCCTCTCCTCAGATGATGAGGACATGTCTCTTAGTACAGAGCAACCAGTGGCGGCAGCAGAAGCTGAAGTCCAGCCTCAGGCAGAAGACACAATGAGTTTAAACCAGGGGGCCCCAGAGTTGCCTTTAGATGGAGAAACAGCATCTGTAGAGATGCCCATGGATGTTGAATCAGCCGAGGCAGATGCTGTAGAGGAAGAGCCTTTAAAGTCAGAGCAGCAGACGCATCCAAAGCAGCAGGAGGAAGCAGCAGCCGAGATCCGAGAACAGATGGAGCAAAAAGAGACCAACGTACAAGAAGAAGAGATGACCCAAGAAGAGGCAGAAACTGATTGTGCCTTTGCCAATGGGCCTGCAGAGCCTTCAGGAGATCCTGCAGCAGTCGAAGAGGAGGCAGTCTCAGACCCACAACCAGTTTCAAATGAACCAGATGTGGATCTAGAGGAAGGCTGCTCGCTGAGGATCAGAACCACACCGAGAAGGAAGCCACGGCCTTGTTCCCTACCCGTGTCTGAACTGGAGACGGTCATCGCATCGGCCTGCGGAGAACCGGAGACGCCACGTTCCCATTACATCCGAATCCACCACCTGCTGCACAGTCTCCCGTCCACCCAACCTCAACTGGAAGACGCAGCTGCACCAGAACCCGACCGGCCACAGAGCGTAGAAGAACAAGAGGAAGACGAGGAAGAGGGTGCAATCCTTGAGCCTCACGCTTTAACACCCAACGGCCCTCGCAGGACGCTGCCCCGCAGCCGCTCGCACGAGCGCCTCTCCGAACTCATTCAGATGCTTGATGGAGATGGACACCCGCTCGGGGCTGAGGGCCAAACCACAGGTCAAAGGTCACCAGTGGAAAGCGAGTACGATTTGAGCCCGGTGCCATGCTGCAGTCACATGGCACAGAGGGCCTTGGGCCCCATCCGGGCGCCGTCTCTAGACAGTGCACGTCGGTCGGAGAGCACTGTGTTCTCCTCACAGGATGATGAGGACGAGATGGACAGGGTGAATGGTATTCTGGGATTGGAGGCGGAGACAGGACAGGCCACTAAGAGCCGGGAGCCAGGGGATGGGAGCTGTCAGTGGGAGGAGGTGCCAGACAGTCACGTCCAGAGCCCGCACAGCATTATGGGTAATGGAGAATCACCGGTAGCTGGACCAAGCAGCAGAAGTGAGTAGGCTTCCATTGGTAGAATGCATAGATCATGTGTTTTTAATTAAAAAAGATCTGGATTTCCCTTTTGCGAACTTGTAATTGAAAAGTATCTATGAAGAATGGTCTGGCATGTGTTTGTGGTGTGTTTAGGAGAATGTCCTTTGCCTTGTAACCATCCTGCAGTGAGCCAGTTGCCCGCCCTGCGGCCCGACCCACATCACTATCCCACCATAGACGAGCCGCTGCCACCGAGTAAGTTCTGTTGTCTCAGCACGCACCTTGATGTATTCATAGTGGTCAATGTCTCGCAAATTTTGGGGAGGTTTTAAGGGTGAATCGCCTATGGATTATATATATGTTATCAAAATAATAAAAATTCATATAAATAGATTATGTATATATGAATATGAATATAATATAAGTATATATAATAATAATACGTTAATATATATATATATATATATATATATATAAATAATATAAATCTTTTGTAACTTGATAAATATATTTACTTTCACTTTTGATCAATTTAATGTCTCTATGCTGATTATATATATATATATATATATATGTATATATAGACATTAAATCAAAAGTGACAATAAATACATTTATAATGTTACAAAAGATTTATAGTTTAAATAAATGTTGTTTTAATTTTCTATTCATCAAATAATCCTTCCACAAAAATATTAAGAAGAATTTTCAATATTGATAATAAGAAAAACATTACAAAATCATCTTTAAAAATCTTACAGACACCAAGCTTTTGGAACTGTAATTTTGAAATGAAACGGTAACATTTTTATTGCCTTAATTTAATTATATTTAAAATTAATTATTATTAAACTGATAATGAAACATTTTTAAAAAATTACAATCAATATCATTTAAAATGTATAATATGGGGTCATATGTCTGTTATGAAACAAAAACTATATGAACAAAATATGACTTCATGAAAATGTCTAAAACAAGATGTTAACCCATGCTTTTATGTGCAAAAAAAAAAAAAGTTTTTTATGCATGTTGTTGCCCAAGTTTGGAAATTGCTAAATAAGTTGCAAAATATTGCAGCAAATCGAAATTGTTCAAATCCATCCAAATGTATCACTTTCACCTGGTGTATCTGCCTTCATATTTTTCATTTCATTTAAATTCTGTGAATAGTCAAACTACAACCACTTACACGCAAGCAAACTTTCATATCAGACATGAGCATCTCCAGTGTCACTCTTACTAACCCACACTGAGATTTTAGCAATGATTAACATCAATTCTGTGACCTGCTCAAGACTGTCTGTCACTTTTTCACGCTACTGTGGTTTGTGTGTGTGTTTATGTCAAAATTAGTCAAATCTGAAGCATCCTACACTGAGGGGATCTTTGAGATATTCCAACAGTAAAAACTGCATGAAGGTTTTTATAAATAATGTCCTAATTAGAGAGGGCCACTATCATTTAAAAAATATTTTCTCTTAAATATTTTTGCCTGCCAGACCAGAATATTGACTTGAGCTTCAAATGTGTGTTTATGTTTTGTTTGGCACGCTCAGACTGGGAGGCCCGTATTGACAGTCACGGTCGTGTGTTCTATGTGGATCACATTAACCGGAGCACCACTTGGCAACGGCCAACATCCGCAGCCACGCCGGATGGCCTGCGCAGGTCTGGTTCCGTCCAACAGATGGAGCAGCTCAACAGGAGGTAAACAACACTGTTTTTTAATAACAGTTACCTAAATTTTACACTTCTTTTACAAAATAATGTGGAATACTGATCAATTGCACTTATGGTGCATCCTGTGAAGATCCAAGTCCAAATGTTTAATTTGTTTAGGTCTGACTCTCAGATCTGATTGGATGAGCCATGTTTTTATGTTACAAATACACCTACTTGTTCCAACAGTAAGTGGACTAAATTTAAGCTAAATTTAAAGATAAAGATAAAAAGATAAATTTAAATGTTTTCATTAAACATTGGTGTCTTTTATCGTTTAACTTTTTTTCCATTGTTTTAGAAAACTAATAACTTGGTAAAAAGTAATTTTCTTATTTAGTATTATTATTGTCTAGTATTATTATTATCTAAGCATTTTTAAGTCAAGATACATTTGAAACGCAAAATATAAAAATGTATTAACAGCATGCACCAGTGCAAACTCTCTTTTAGTGTTAAAAAAAATATTAACAAGACATGCAGTGAAAAATTGGCAATGAAAAAGTGTGGGCACGGGTATTTTTGTGGCTGACTGTATTGCATATGCATTTGTAGGAGTTTTCCTTTCAGAGGACGTCAAATTTATTGGAGGAGAGTATTTAAATGAATAATGCAACATGATTTACTAAGGTTTGCAGTAGTCATTTTACTGGTATTTGTGTCATCATTTAAAACATAAAAATATCTGTCAGTGGGGTAAGAAAAATAAACGTAATTCAAAGGGGAAACAAGCTTATTTTTCTTACCCCATTGACAGATTTTTTTTCTTGTTGTAAGCATAAACCTCACTTAATATTGATGCATTACTGTAACTTTTGAAACTTTAAGCGTGGTAAAATCACAATGTTGGTCAGCATCAAGTGGATTGTATTTAGCAAAGTATGACTGACTCTGTTGCTATATTTTAACCAAATAGGCACATATAACAGTAACCTTTATAAAAATTATCAAAGCCAATGATTCAAAAAGTGATTAATTTTTTTGGGTCAAATGCCGCAATTTTTCTGTAAACCAAGCAAGTTCACATGGGCTTATAAACATGCACTCTTTTGCCACCTACAGGACAAAAATATAGGTGCTTCATCATGTTTCCATTTAGAGTCTAATTAAAGGCTGTTTATTTAATAGTCCAGAAGCAGCACATGACTGATTTAGATTATTCTCAAAGCACTCAAAGCTTTACTGAACCGTCGAGCAGCATATGAGATATGTAAGTCAGGGCATTTGGGTAGAAATAGTTGTAAAGGAGTCTTTACAATGGGAGTCATACTGTACTGATGTTAGTGACTAATAACAGCATTACTCGTGTCCTCATCAGGTACCAGACCATCCAGAGAACGATGGCCACAGAGAGGAGAAACGAGGAGTCAGGTAGTCCCCGCAACGAGAGAACAGCCAACACTGAGACAGACTCGCCTCCACAGACAACCGGTAACAAACATAATGACTGTTGTTCTCTTACCCTCAAAAAGTGACAATGATTTGCTTGTGCTCACGTCAGTGGAAACCTGTTTGTTTTTGTACACCAAAAAAAGTTTCTGTCATGACCACTATTGTCAAAATGATAGATACTTAGCATAAAGTTTGGTTTGGCGGTATGGTTCTGTTCTAGGCAAAAACCTCCCTGCCCATCCATGCAGCCTGTCATGAATGAGCAGGGAGAGCAGCAATAATAACCCCCCTAGAGTTAACAGAACAGAACAAGGCAGATATCATTAATGTACTTAATGATTTTTAAGTGTAACACTTTATTCAAGATAAAGGAGTCTGATTAGCAAGGAATATCAGCAAGCCAAGTCCTGACTGTGGCGAAAGGAGGAGCTGGGGATGGAGGAGGGTAATTTGCTCCTGAGCAAGCTGAAAAGCTGCAGAATAATACTGAATAGAGCTTATATAGGAATGCCGCGATAGGTGTCATATTCCTATTGGTAGATGTGATCAGCTGAGAATCACAGAATCACAGTCTGAACACAGACCTCACATATCTTGTGAATGTGGAAAGTTTGACCGTGCAGAAGAATAAACACAATTTGAGAGCTTTCATTTTTGGTAAACTGTCCCTTTAAATGATCTTCTTCTCTTTTAAGAGTTGAGGAGAGATGCCCCATGTTCTCCAGGTCATTGTCAGAAGATCACGTTACTGCTGCAGAGTCCAGCGGTCAAATTCATCACTCACCCAGAGTTCTTCACTGTTCTCCACGCAAATTATGTGAGTTCCCACCACACTGCACACTATTCACTACGTCTAAATCATTTATTCTACCTCTATAGATTATGCTATTTAAGTTATAATATTGTTCAAAAGTTTGGGGTCAGTAAGATTTTTCTTTTGGAAAGAAATTAATACTTTTATTTAGTAAGAACACGTTGATCAAAAGTGACAGTAAGGGCAATTATAATATATATTTTTTAAAAATCACGATTTCCAAATAAATTATAAAGCAGCACAACTGTTTTCAACATTGATAATAATAAGAAATGTTTCTTGAGCAGCAAATCAGCATATTAGAATGATTTCTGAAGGATCATGTGAATTACACTTTAAAATATATTCAAATAGAAAACAGTATTTTACTGTATTTTTGAACAAATAAATGGAGCCTTGGTGAGCAGAAGAGACTTCTTTCAAAAACATTAAAAACTCTTACAGACCCCAAACTTTTGAATGGTAGTATACATGTCATGTTTTAATTAAAAGTTTATGCTAGTGTCGTGTTAACATTATCTTTTTTTTTTGTTACAGGGCGCATATCGTATGTTCACAAACAGCTCGTGTCTGAAACACATGGTCCTGAAAATCAGGCGTGATGCCCGAAACTTTGAGCGGTACCAGCACAACCGTGACCTGGTGGCCTTCTTGAATAGGTTTGCTGATGCTCAGCTGGAGCTGCCGCGGGGCTGGGAGATCAAAACAGACCCACAGGGGAAGGTACCTCACATCTCGTGATTCCTAACATCTCACCTCAGTGTCCGTCAAGCCATTATTTCAGCTGTCTGTCCTCCATTTGTTTCCACAGTCATTTTTTGTAGACCACAACAGTCGTGCCACAACCTTCATTGATCCCAGAATCCCCTTGCAAAACGGCAGGTTGCCCAACCACCTGACGCACCGCCAGCACCTGCAGAGATTACGCAGCTACAGCGCAGGAGAGGTCTGACACACTCACGATATAGAGACAAGACGAAAAGATTTATCCTTTGTAAATGATACAGAAATGACTGTTATTTGTTTATTAAATTCCACATTAAATCCAGGCATCTGAGGTGTCACGCACCCGAGGGGTGTCTTTGTTAGCCAGGCCTGGAAACAGCCTGGTAGCAGCCATACGAAACCAAAGCCAGCAGGAGCCAGTGCCATTAGGTATGGACCATTCACAAATAATGGACAGATCACTATTGTAGTTGCACTTAGGGTTAGTCGATGTAGCTAAAAAAAGATAAATCTTTATTTTTTTTCCTGTTCAGGTATTTGTTCTTAAATGGTTTAAAAATGTTTGTAAAATAAGTTCAAAGTTATATTATTTAAAAGTGGCATTTGTAATGCATAATGTTAAAAAAAAAATTCTAGTTGTTTTGAACTATTTATTCATCAGAGAATGGTAAAATGTTTCACAGTTTCCACAAAAATATAAAGCAGCACTGTTTACGACATTAATAAAAATAATAAATGTTTCTTGGGCAGCAAATCAGCATATTAGATTTAGATTAGATTAGATCAGATTTCTGAAGGATCATGTGACACTGAAGACTGGAGTAATGATGCTGACAATTTTGCTTTGATCATGGGAATAAATTATGTTTCAAAATATATTCAAATCGAATGCAGTTATTTTCAATTGTAATAATATTTAACAATATTATTGTATTTTTTTTATCAAATAAAAGCAGCCTTAGTAAGCATAAGTGATTTCTTTCAAAAACATAAAAATAATTACCAATCCCAAACAATAGTTTATATCTTGATGTTTTTGCTGTTTCATCTTATTGGATGTCTTTACATTTACGTATTTTTTCTGAAATGGGTTAAAAAGTATCGATTTTAGTAGAAATCTAGTTAATGGTCAATGTTTTCAGTAAATCTCAGGATGTACTATTTAATCATATTCATTTTTTAATGTACCAATACAACTTTGCATTGTTATAATCAGCAATATTCACCAGCATAATTTTATTAAAATTTGAGTGATGAATCAGTGGCTGAAATGTTACATCTTTTTCAAAAATTGATTTGCTTAATTGAATAAAGTGTAACTGTTCTTCGCCAGCTTTCGCTGCAACATAGGGAATCCAGGTGGGATGCAATGTATTACTACTCGCATTGTGTTTCCTTGGGTAGATGCAATGAAGTGCAACCATAGCTTCATTAGTTTTCACAATAGGTGTGTTAGGAACAGGTGAAGGTGAATACACCAAAACAAAGGAATAAACGAGTGAATCTTCAGTCATCGTTAATGTGCTCCCACATCCTTGTAGCGCTGACTCAAAGGCAACAATCCTGGCATGGTCATCAAATCCAACAGATGGACAACCACCCAGCGTCAGATCAGAGGGGTTAATGAACTGATTGTTCCCCAAGAAATCTTGCTTCACCTGCACTTTGACGGAGACCTCTCCACATTGAACCTCGACAGTGTTTGCCGGCACTGGCACCTTGGGTTCAAACTCTGGCTCTATAACCTCATCCTTCACATCGGGATAGAGGTCAGGACCAGAAATGGGTTTGTGGAATCCCTGTTGGGTTTGTGAGAAAGTCTCAACTGTTTGTTTAGGTTGTATTAGTCCAAAATGTCCTTGGCTTTTCAAAGGCCTGCTAGGTAGAAGAGGCATGGATGTGTAGTTGGCTCTCTGGGGGTGTACTTGCATTGGTATCTGGACAAACTCTTGTGATGGAGGTCCCACCATTGCTGAGGCAGGTCTCCTGGACTCAATGAAGTTTTGAAATATGTTGGATGCTACCGCATTTTGATCAAACTGTGCAGGCTCTTGCACTGGATGACTGAAGACGGCATTTTGACTAAAGCCCTGATCTAAAGACAGTTCCCCTTGATTCAATGGTTCAGCACGACACAATAATCCACAAGAAACTATAAAAATAACACCAACAACCACTGAGCTTCTTCCCATTGTTGGTCTCTCAATGCATTCCATATCAATTAAGTTTGAATAAAGTTTAAGCCAGAGACTCTTTATAAAAAATCATGATACAAGGAGGGAGCGTGAAACTAGTCCTTTGGCATGTTCTTTAGGGTGCTCAACTAGTAAAATAAAATTGAAATTAATATCACAATGTTGATGACCATGATCATAACCAAAGAAACTCAATACATCATAAATATCCAGTGTATATAGCTGAGTTGATATGAATTCTTTTGCATCTGTTTCCTAGCATACAATGAAAAGATTGTAGCATTTTTACGGCAGCCAAACATCTTTGAGGTGCTACAGGAACGGCAGCCAAACCTGGCAAGGAATCACTCACTCAAGTATGACACTACACCTTCCTCTGTTACTGTAACAAAATGCATCATTAGTTCTTTCAAACGGTTCTCAGTTTTTTGGGTGTGTTTACTATGTCTGTAGGGAAAAGGTGCATCACATCCGAACCGAAGGCACACAGAGACTGGAGAAGCTGTCATGTGATGCTGATCTGGTCATGCTGTTAAGGTAAAGCACCCTCCATCCTATGAACTGGCCATTATATATATATATATATATATATATATATATATATATATATAATGAATGCACAGGCAATGTTTCCTGAGAGTAGCATTTATAATCTGTCATACATGCTTTTTTCAGAACGTGTTTTGCTTTGCTTTTCAGTTTGTTTGAGGAGGACATCATGTCTTACGTTCCTCTCGCATCATTTCACCCCGGGTTCAACTTCTCTCCACGATGCTCTCCTGGTTCCTCTCCTCAAAACTCTCCAGGTGAGTCGGCCAAGAGCTTTAAACATTATCCTTCAGATGCTCTGCAAACTACATAATTGTTTAGATATGACCTGATGTGACATCAAGTAAAGTTTGCAAATCAAAACCATTCCTAGTCCTCATTTGCACTTTCCAATAACATCTCAAGTGCTTAATTAAAGCAAAATCTCCTATATCAGGACTTGGTGCTTGGTAGAAAGTATGCACTCTTACAACCATCTATAACATATTACAATATAAACACCATACACATTGTCATAATTCATCAACAGTAGATCATAAGCAACCTTTTGGCAGAAATGCGTGTTGTTCATTGATTGCAAACTTATCTGAAACCGTAAGCCTGTAGAACATGCAACAGCGCACTGTTTTGACTTTGAACATGCAGCGCTCACATATATTTAATGAAATCAAAGCCTTTTGAAATTTATGTTGAATTAACATGATTCCAGTTTTTCCATCCCCAAATTTAAGACCTCCTAAAATGATAATTAAGACTTTTTATATACCTTTTTATACATTTAAGATATAATTTCATAAAATAGAATTTTTAGACTTTTTAAGGACCCACTGGGA